CAAGATTACTCAGTTTGGGCTCTAGGAAGTCCACAAATAAGAAAAATTAGTTTGGGCACAGAAAACAAATAGTGAATAACAAGGTTTCTGTCAGCACTTTTATCCCTTAATACTTTCAGGAACTATTTCTGTCAATTCTGTTACAAATTAATCCAAAACTTGGACTAATCCCTCGGAAAACTCTTCTTTCTCCATCACAGTGATTGTTTTTGAAACCAATCACCTTTTGCCTTGTCTTAACTAATCTCCTTTGATGTGATTTTTGCCTTCTGCCTCTTCTGACAAGGGCTGAGTAGAAACCTATTAGCTTCGTCCCATACGCTAGCAGCTACCCCCAGCACGCTGGGAATGATATCAGTTACTAAGGCTTGTCATTTCTGTTGCAAAGCTTATTATCTCAAGGATCTTCTGGCTATTGCTCTGCTTGTCGGTAAGGAGATAAGAGTGACCGGAAATCCACCTGCAGTCCTGCCTTTTGTTTACAGTGTAGTTCTGAATATCACAACCCCCCTCCCCCAACAGATCTTTATTTTCAAAATGTATACGTTTGCTGATGTGGAAAATAAGCGATGACATAAACATTGAAGAAGTTAGTTTGGTGGCAGAACTAAATGAAGCTCTAGGAAATGCGGAGGGAGAGCCTGTAAGCGGTTCAGTGAGGGGTAAGTAGAGTATTACAGTGCTGTGCACTGAAGGCATTCTTCAATCTTCTGACCAGCAGCTGATTAGTCACCCTGTCATTGTTTAAAGAAAGCCTTTCGTGCAATATTGGTTCCACCTGATAGTTTAGCAACACTTTATTACCAGTCTCTATCACTATGTTATGATAGTTTTGTCATGTAACAAATCTGTTGAAGTGAAAGGCTTTCTTTTCAAAGTATCCTGTTTCTGTAGCTGCACAAGCGAAAAGTAATTTCATGTGATTCATGCTAGTCATTTTTTTGCTATTGATTTTTTTTTTTACTGAGACTGTGGTTTAAAACTGTATTGATAGAATAGTGCCACTGATACCCAGTTTATATGGATTTTGGGGAACATCCTGCTGGGATCTGAAACTTGGAAACATTTCAGACAAGCAGGAGTCTTGGACTTGTTTACCCCAAATAACATCAGGGACTTTATGATTGGGGACTGTGATCTTGTTGGTAAATGTTCAAATTCAAATACTTATAAGATGAGGTGGGATCTCTTTTGACCCTTTGGAACCTTGTTAAAATGCTAAAATGGCGGCAAAAAGCTGGATCTTGTGATACAATTAAAAAGATACTGAAAAAGCACGAAAGGGATGGGCAGTAGGCTCAGCTTACTCAAAAGGATACACAGTGAAATGTAGCCCTGGGTCAAATACACTACATATCACAGGATTATTGCAACTGATGCTTTAGGGTTTTTTTTTCTTGAAAAATGGCAGCCATTTACAGTACAGCTGATGACCTCATGCTATAATTTATTAATTTTAATTACTGAGATTGAAAGCGGTGTTTCACTGGCATGCATTTATGTTAATGTGTTAAAAGGCAGTGTTTCCTGCCAAGGGATTTCACTAGTATATATATATTTCTTAGTCCAGGTTTATTGTATTCCATTGACATTCACTGGTACTATCAATCACCATGCTTCGTGATCAGGATCTGTGACTTGGATTAGAAACCTAACACCTGCCCTTCTGAAAGTACATTTGATGATACTAAAGGGCAAATGCCTTCTAAATAGCAGTGTTTTGGTATTGGTTAGTCCTTGCACTGTAGAAGAACATTTCTCTTACAAGGCTCAAATAATTGTTTGCTTTGATTTTGCAAAGCACATGACCTCTTCATATCTTCTAAAAATACAGTAAAGAATTATATCTGTACTTTATGGACTTTGATCTAGATATGAATTTGCTCTCAACTTTCCACCCTGATTGTAAACTTTTTTATATAAAGTTTTTATGTGTGTATGACAAATGCTGTTCTGTTTAATGTGGCATGGCATGACATAACCATGCAATAATCTAAAAAAAATGGGCTTTAATGTCGTGTTGTGAAAACCCACACATGCCCCAGTTGTCTCGGCCAAGCCTCTATGACTTTTAAAAAATGGCTGGCCTGCTGCAGGATTAAGCACTGTTGGCAGCTGTTTTTAAATCCGCCCATCGTTTCAAAGGAAAGCTCGGCATGGTAAGGTTTCCCAGTCAGTACGACAACAAACTCAGAAATGTTGCTAATAGAATCTTGCCCTCCCAATTAGTTTTTTCCCTTAAACTTTTTTTTATATTCCCCTTTCCTTCGTTCTCCTGGAGTGCAGCTTGGTAGGACTGTGAAGGGTGTAAAATTGCCAAGAACACTCCCCCCAGGGTTAGGCTAGCAGTGTGAAAGAAACTGGCCTTGTTTCGAAGGAAAAGCAAGACATTTTTGGGGCTACTTGTAATGAAGACCCCAGCAGGGAAAATGAAGAGAATTCTTTAGAGTATAACATTTCCTTTGTCATGTGTGATGCAATTCATAAGAGGAGGGGGGAAAAATGAAGAAAAGTGAGAATGGGTGAAAAAGGGCCATTAATTTTGTGAAGCTAGAGTGTTTTGAAGGGTTTTTTGCCAGACCTCCTGTGATGACTAATTCCTTTGTGCAGAGTCCAGCAATAAAGACCTTTTCAAAACAAGCAGCTTCCAGCTTCCATGGATTCTCTTTAACAAGTCTTTGAAACAACGCTGATGATTAATTGGCAGATATTGGTCATTTTTCACTTTTAAGTGAATGATACTATTTTAGTCCTTTTCCTCCCCGAATATCAAGACACATGGGTGTCTTATCCCTTTCTGCATATCAAGGCCTATGGGCGTATTGTGTGTAAGCTACATTTTCTCCTCTGAAGCAACACACACACTTGCATTGTTTTTTTAAAGAGAAAAAAGGCCTGTAATTTGTCTTTTCATAGCAAGGTTGCCTGTAAGTTTCTACCACATTAAATCGAATTCAGAAACGCTTTCTCTTCACTGTCACTGGGGAAATTGCAAGGCAAAAGAATGCATCTTGAAGAGATACTTTAATATTTTTCATTGGTTTAGTTGGAATCTCCTGATTCTTGACTATAATATGAAGAACTCTTGTTCTCTTGGGAGATTTAAGGTATTTTCTTTATTATTATTATTAAGACTAGTAAAATAGCTGCAGTCTTTTATGAAAACCATTTCTTTTTCGGCTTTCATTTAAAACTAATATTTTTAGTTTGACATTATGCTTTGAAATGAGCTTTTCTGCAGGACGTGCTGAGTTCTTTCAGTGGTGCTGGTGATATTGGCGTTTCTCTCATCATCATTTCCCATTTGAGCTTCATGTTAGAAATATTACCAGGGTGTCCTTCTTTTTACCAGTTCTCTGAAATGGGTAGACGCCATGACTTTTCTAGATTGGGCTACTGCAATGCATTGCTTGCTCTTGCTGTGAAGCACACAGGAATCGCCCTTAACATGTTTAAAATTTAGCTGCAAAAACCTGGAAGCCATGTATGAAACTTCACTTCCGTTCTAGTCTAGCTGCATTGGCCCCCAGCGTTGAATAGATTTGATATCAAAACCTTTCTCCTGTCCTGCAGAGTACTCTTTCCTGCATTAAAATCTTGCTATGCTATAATACTCCATCTCTACAGCTCTGCTCACTATATTCTACCATGCTGTCCACATGCCACTGTGCAGAAATATCTGTCTACAGAAATGTGCAAAACTTAGGCATCCCCTGTTCTTTTTTAAAAGCGGTTTTAAAGTACATTTCTTAAATAATTTTTCTTAGAGCAAAATTATTTGAGCCTAAGTACTATTGACTTATCCCATTTATTGTAAAACACATTGAATGTCTTGACATGAAAGCTATAACGTTATGCTGCTGACACTGGTATAAGACAGGATTTATTTTTTTCTGTGATGGTTTATGACAATTAATCATCTTGCAGCGAGGTCCATATTTTGTTCAAGAAGGATGGAAAGTGTTTATTTTAAGCATCCTGTATCCTGTTCAATTTATGTTCATCCAATTAATATGATTTCCAAAATTGTGTTTTATTCTGCACACATACAAAAAAGGAAATTAACACTGTATTTGTAATCTACTTGCATTTATATTCCATTTCACACCAATCCGAATGGTATCAACTTAAAAAGTAAGGGAAGGTTAATTTTTGTAAAATGTGAATGCACCATCATAATACAGCAATAAAAGAAAGCTTAAAATAAAATTAAGGGTATAAAGTAAAATTAAGAGTAAAGTAGTCTGGATATTTCTGTTAAGATCCTTTGGATTAATGAACGTACGGTCGTAATGATTTTACGCTGAGTTTTGAAACTGTTCAGAAGGATTTGATGCCTGTTTGGGGACCAGACTCTTTACTTAATGCAGTAATTTGTTCATTTGTTTTCCAAGGCAGCTTCTAAGCCAAATACAAAATTTAACTGCTGCAGTTGGCTCTCTCATCCTGTGAGTTATCCCAAGTAGGGGATTGGATCTAAATGCTGTCTGTCAGGATACACTCCTTAATTTGTAGCATAGGAGCTTCAAAAGGGGATTTTCAAGTGTGGCATTTTTAAATACTGTCTAAAACATAAGGAGCCAATGCTTCCATAATGTCCTAGGGGTTTGCTGAAATGCAGAAGTTACTTTCAAATGTATCCTAACTCACCGGTACTGGAACACTTGCTTTTTTCCCTGTAATTGTGAAATCTACATGTCCTATTCAAGATGTACCAGGAAATCAACCCTGTTCTCTTTTCTCCCAAGCTGCTAACTAGTTAAATGCTTATGACAGGCAGGCACTGACCTTTACAGTGAGCACAAGTGGTGACTCAGTAAAAAAAAAAAGAAATTCACCCTTCAAGAAGACTGTTGCTATAGGACATTGTTTGTGATGTTTACCTATTCCCCACACAGAAAAGACCACATGTGCCTAGCTGCGAAATAAAAACAGGTGTTTGCTCTCCAGGTGCTCCATCAGCCTGGGATCTGCAAGGCTCAACTTGTGTTTCTCTTCAGCAGGTGCAGCAGGAAGTACGCAGTGCTCATGTGGGCGGAATCACTTCACCTGTGCTGTGAGTGCTTTCGGGGAGTGCACATGCATCCCAGCGCAGTGGCAGTGTGATGGAGACAATGACTGTGGGGACCACAGTGACGAAGATGGCTGCAGTGAGTACAATACCACGATGCTTGTGTGCTCAGGCTTTTGGTTTGTTTTAGTGATGCAATGGTGGCGCAGTGGCTAGCATTACTGCCTCAGCACTGAAGCCCTGGGTTTAGTTTCGGACCAGGGGTGCTATCTGCATGGAATTTACCCCCCTTGTCTCCTCCGAATATTCAATTTTCCTCCCACAGTCCATGGGCATATTGGTAGGTTAATTGGCTCTGTGTGCATGTTTGTGTCTGTGTGTGCCCTGCAGTGGACTGGTGTTCCTTCCAGAGTGTACCCTGCCTTGTGCCCTTTGCTTGATGGGATATAGGCTCTGGCTGTCCTGAATTGGAAGGAGTTAGAAAATGGCTGCATAGATGAATGATTGGTTTTAGTGCTACTGTCTCACAAGTCCAGGGTTCTGGGTTTGATTACAGCCTTAGGAATCTGTGTGGTGTTCACGTGGGCTTTTGCCAAGCACTCAGCTTTCTTTCTGCTTCTCAACGACCTGCTGCTTGGCTATCTGGCTATTCTGAATGAGTTTCCCCTGTGACAGACTGGTCTGCTGTCCATTGGAGAACAGTTGTGTAGGACACACCCGACTTTCCTTGACCCTCATCAGGATAAGTGACTAACTGATCATGGATATATGGTTTGTTTCACTTATCATGAAAGCATAGGAAGGACAATTGGAGGGCATTTTGCACAAAATTACAAAATGATTCTTGCTAATTCTCTTCTCTAATGTGTTTATTTTTTCTAACTAATGTGCTTTTAAATGTAATTGAATCCTATATGTCTGTGCATTGTATGCAAGACTAAAATGACAATAAAACGGGCACCTGGCAAGAATGGATCATTCGATTGCTCTAGGGAATTATTGAACTGAATTCCAAGAGATGAGAAGTAACCCAGAGGAAGACTTGTAAGATGGCAAGATAAAGTAATTAATTTGCAGTAGTGTGTTGGACAGAAGGTCAAGGAAGTGTCTCTGGAAGCTGTTATCCAGTAGTTGGTTGAAAAAGCTTGTGGGGTGGAGCGGTGGCTCTGTGGCTTAGGATCTGCGCCTGTGGCTGGAAGGTTGCTGGTTTGTATCCCGAGGCCGGCAGAGGAATCCAACTCTTGTGGGCCCCTGAGCAAGGCCCTTAACCCCAACTGCTCCAGGGGCACCATATAAATGGCTGACCCTGCGCTCTGACCCCAAGCTTCTCTCACTGTGCTTCTCTCACTTATGGAGAGCAAGCTGGGGTATTCAAAAAGACAGATTCCTAATACAAGAGATTGTATATGGCCAATCAAGTGATCTTATCTTATTATGATAATGGCATGCATGCTTCTGCATGTGAATAAATCGTATTCATTGATACCTTTCAGTGGAGCATGATGCATATATGAAAATACAAGGCCGAAAAACTGTAATTACATTATAACAAACATTTAAAATACCTCTGGCTTGTTTAACACAAAATACTGAAACTCCACACTATGCGACCCGTTCAAGGGCATATCTCTTAAACGTATACACTTAAGGAATAACATTCCAAACAATATCACATTTGTTTTTATTTTAAAAAAATATAATTTTGGAATTTTGGGGGTAATTTTAAAGTTCTAAAAACGTAAGTCATCGCTGCTTTCCTGGAAAACAGTATTGAGAAATGTTTCGTAGTGTTAGGCTCAAATTTGTGGCAGTTCCTGTGAGTCTCCGGGTGTCCAGCAGGTTTGTGTGCTGTCTGTGTTTTTCCCATAGATTTGCTGTGAGGTCTGTTACAAGTGTATCAGGTTACACCTGATCCCAGAGAAACTGCCCTCTTGTCAAAGGTATTTGTACGTGTCGGTTAGACATTGATACCATCTGCTTAAGTAGAGTGTTGTGGTATGATTAACAAAATACACATGGGAAAATACAGTTAAAGGGTACTAAGAAGCTCACCACTGTATTGGTACTTTAAAAAACCCAAAACAATTTCCCTAAACTTAAGAATTCAGACAAAAGTTAAAATATATGCCTTTCAAGGGAGTTGCTCTAACCTGGACAGCTAAAACATAAGAGCACACCTAGCAACTGAAGTCAAGGAGACATTTTGTCCTGTTATAAAACAGTGAAAGATTTATAGGAAAGATACTGTAGATCTGGCACTGTCAATATTGAACTTGCTGCAAAATATTCTAATGAGTTCATCTAGTTTGTAACTGTTACACTGGAGCTTTTTGTATTTAACGTGCTGAGAACCACATTAAAACCATTGTTATCACAGCAAAAGTAAATTTCATTTATAAATACTAATTAGTTGTAATTGTCACTGTTGTCTAATATTGTTTTCTGTAAGCAGTGATTCCTTTTGGTGTTTTTCTTTAATTTTAATCAGGTTTGATATTCAGACAGTTAAATCATCACATCACTCGTGACCAATTAACTCTCTTACTAATAAGGTGATGTAGTGATTTAGTAACAAAGCTGAGCTTAGTGCATCATCGTCAGTTATGAATGACCAATTAATCAAAGTGATGCCAGAAGCATTTAATATATACGCCTGTATAAGTGGAATTATAAATTTCTTTTGATGCCAGTGTATAAACAAAGTACAAATGTCTTGGGAAGCTGTTGCATTAAAAGAGACTAAATTAGAAATTTCAAAACAGCCTTAAATATTGTTTTTAATGTATCCTCAAGACAAGTCTGAATTATTTATAGATTGCTTTTCTGGGTTAGGTGAAGGACAGGCATGCTTTCTGTGATTAAATGCACCCACATTTGTTGCATCATGGCTTCAGTCCAAGAACTATGCAATTCAAGGGCTGCAGTACTGTTATTAGGAACACAGCTGAATAATACATAGAAAATAATACATGTCATTCTTATGTGCTCAGATTTCATTTAATTCTGAGCACAAGAATTTGCTCTGTTTTGACTTTAAAAATATCAGACTGAAATCATGATGTTTTCTTAAAGGATTCGTAATAGGTTACAATAACATTCACTGCTGCCCCCTTTTAAATACCTGTTTAGCGATGCAGACTTTATGCTTTTCTGATAATAGATGCTTTAGTCCTCATTTGTATTTACCAAAAGACTAAAAAAATGCCTTTCTTGACAGATTGACCTCCCTGTTAAAAATGTTCAACCTCTTAACTTTAAGTACCTAAACAGATAAAAGTTAAACACTTTTGTCTCTAAAGCCAACATGGTTCTACTTAAGCTTAATGTGGTCAAAGAATGTTAAAATACCCAAATGCAGGTTTGATTGTAGCTGTTTATTTTTCTGAGTAAATTTGATAAGAAGTGAAAGTGAAATTCTGATTTTCTTTTTCAAGCAGATTTTGACAGGGACAGCATCTTATTTCAATGAAGAATAATACTTCATAAATTTATTCTGACTGTCTCTGAAGTATGTAGTATATTCATATCCTATCCTCAGAAAATGATTTATTTCACAGCAATTTCAAGTAATGTGCCATTTATAAAGTGTAGTATGCAATTTCTAAAGTGGAGATGATTACAGCCAGCAGAACAAGAGATTTTGTATACCACAATTATGAAAATATTTTGTGTCTTTTCATAAAACTAACGTTTTATAACAATAGATAGAATTCCCCCAACCAAACTACAGTATGGAAAAGATGAGAGATAACTACTTTCTTCTCTTTGTTTAGAATGTCACATGTAGTTTTATTTTCTCATTCATATATTTTGTAACTTCAAGCTTGTACAGTATAATCTTGTAGCATTTAAACTTTTATGTGAAAGCAGAGGAGATAAAATTTCTGAGCAAATTGCTTTTCTTAAGTTTATCTTAAGTGAACCATCTATCTTAAACCAGTAAAAAAATATTCATCTTTAACTGGGCTAATATTAGTGATATATACAGTTAATCTGTATTTAAGAAGGGCAAGTTCAGATTTTCAGGGCCAGCCTCTTAATTAGTGTAGGTAACATTAAATTAATGTATAAATCAATGTAATCAACTTTACAATTGCCATTTTCAGAGACAGGCTTCTTCAGTGTTACATTTCATTTTGTAACAGCAATTTCCCTGTGTTATAAAATTCAATTAAAACCCGTGTGCATTTAGATCGGTTTCATCACTACATTCCACTAAGGCTTCTCATGTGGTGATTGATTTCAGACTTAATTAGCTTCAAAGATTGGCTTCAGGATTTATGGTATAAGATTGTAACACATGCAGAAATATACTGATCCTAGATAAAGTGCATTTGACACTGCAGTGCTTTATGAAAAGATCGAGTTTAATTGATGGTGGATACCATGGATACATGTTCTTCTGGAGTTGAAACAAATTCTTTCTGGTGCAGTGACTTTTTTAAAAAGAAGCGCTACTGCTGTTTTCTACTGTGGTCTTTTGCATGGAAGCCCAGCATTTTCGGAAGGGTTAAAAGGAGCTAGTTCCGGCATTGACAGAGCACTTGTCCACAGGATGACAAATGGTACTGTACGTGTGGCAGGAAAAATACTGAAACAATAGTGATAGTGTTTAAAAAGAAATTAGCAGCACTGCCCTAACCACGGGAGGGTGGAACAAAAGCTGCAAATGTGATATAAAAATCCTAGTGCGTTCTGTGGGGGTTTCAAGTTAAGTCCTATCCATTTGCTCTACTTTCTGCTTTCTTCACTTCATCCTCGTGCTAAGATTCTTTGCCTTCAGAACATAAATTGAGGCCAGCACTGTGGCTGTCTCATTCACCATGCAGTTCCCCTGCTGAGTTGAAAGGCTTCAGCACTGAGACTGCTAAGGGGGCAAGTTGAGGGGGGGTGAAAAGGAGATGAAATAGATTTTTTTTAACTTGAAAGCTCTCTCCCCACCCCTCCCACCCCCCAACAAAAATGGAAGAAAGTCAGTATAATACTCAGATAAAGCAGGGAAGTGCAAGACTGATGAACATATAGCATTGCCAGCCTGATTTTAGCGACTGGGGCGCTAGGGCCCTGCTGGTTTTGGCTGGTCCAAACTAGATTGCTGTTCTCAGTAATCCCTCTTCTTATAGAACTTGGCCAATCAGA